GTTAGGGTATGCGTGATTTAAATGGTCTTCGCGCTAGCCACATCTCAATCATGGTTTCAGTGCTAAGATCTTTGCACGTTCATTGGCAAGTAACTGTGAATTCAACATTGCCTATGATGTTAACTCGTGAAAATCCAATATCAAAACACTGCATCATCCCCATGCAAGTGATGTCATGTGAAAGCTTACTGGATTCTTATTACTGAGGCCCCTGGCTTTAGTTTATAAGAGTTCATAGCACACTGTATCGGATATTTACTTATATCAACGGTAATGGTATGGTCATTGAGCGGACCCGTTTCCAGTCCGTTAAATCTGAGGGCAGTTATTCCAAAGCTTCTAAGCCAATCAACATCCGCTGTCGCATCATTTGTGTACCCACATTCATCGGTACCAAAATTACAGGTGACATCACCTAGTACTGTTTGCAGAAGATTAAGATAAAAAAACAAGTATGTTTCGTTAAAATAATAATAATAATAATAATAATAATAATAATAATAATTAAATGATATTATAATAATTATATTTAATAATAATTAACTAATAGGCCTAATAATAATGATAATATACTAACATAATGATAATAGTATCAATATATAAATAATTAGTAATTATTATTCACATTGTTATTATAATTACTAATGTTGTTATTATAAACATTATTGTGATCATAATCTTCAATATCATTATCATTAACAATAATACAATTAGAAATTTCTTTGTATACTTACCAACTGACGATGAAGGTACCGATACAACCATCAACAACACCCTGTAAACCCCTTTCATTTTCACTCTAAACACTTTAAATCTAAAGGTATCAAATGTATAAATCCACAAATCAACGTCTAAAAAATCCACTAATAATCAAATCCACTGTGAATGAATAGAGACCTTTGCATGAATTAACAGCATCGACTGCAATATCGCTAGAAGATGTATTATCGAGTGTAGGCCTATATTCACAGCAATTTCTGATTCCCAAATTTCCAACAGTTATATTTGTTACACAAAGTTGAACCGGACAGGGGTAAACACTAGTAATTACGTCATAAATGAATACTCACAATCGACGTTATCGAATTCATAACATACGTCGTCACCTTTTGATTTAAATAATCATGAATATTCAATATATCGTCATTCTTTTTGAGCAACTACACTAATCATTATAAAGTATCATAATTATTAACTATACATTGGCGTGCTATTTATTTTGTAAGGAAAAAGGGAAAAAAGGAAATGAATGAAAAAAAAAGAAAAAGGGAACAGAAAAGGAAATAGAAAGAAATGGATAAACAAAAAGGTAACTAATTTAGGATCTCTGTGTCTGAAAAAAATTGACTAAATAATAATAATTATATAATCATATGTATATATATATATATATATA